ATATATATGTAAGGTAAATTATTCAGGGACAGTAAAACATGAACAAATACAAAAATTACATTAATGATTACCCCCCAAAACAGGCATATTATAGAGAGGAAATCATAATCAATCTCTGAACCATTTCCTACAAAACTGACTCACAATTATGTGTCAATCCATTCCATTCATCTATCCTCTGGTTCTACAAATACCAGTAATAATGTTTGGTTGGGATTTACCAGGAGAAAGAGAGTTAACGAGTGTTGGACATTGTGCTAGGCTCTCTGATTTATTCTATCATGTGAAGTATTTCTATTAGGGAAACTGAGTCTCCATGAAGTATGGAATGCTAACAACACTGTCTTAGATACCTTTATAATAATGGCTAATGCCTAAGAGTGATTTGTAATATTGAAATAAAGGTTTTCAAACAATTTCTCATCCTTGTCATATAAACAGAAGCATATTAAACTCAGATTGGGAAGAGCCTATCTATTTTTTTTTCCTGTAAGACATATTGGGTTGTCAAAAAAGTCATGACTCAAGTTTGTGACAGATGGCGCTAGTTCATTTTTGGAAGTACTAGAATCATTCTTATCTATGTTTTCCTATGTCATTTGACAGCTGACAGTTCTAGCTTCACCCTAAAAAAAATTGAGTGATTTGGTTGAGTTTTGGAGATTTTATAGCAAGTTGAAGATGGAAGACCAAACTGTGCAGTTTTGCTATATTTTACTGTTTTACTTCCATAAAGGGAAGAACGCATGCCAAGCTTGTGAAAAAGTTGCATAAAGTTTACGGTGACAATGCTTTACAAGAACATCAGTGCCAATGATGGTTCACGAAATTCTGTGCTGGTGATTTTGATCTCAACGATGCTCCTCAGTCAGGGAGGCCCACCAAAGTTGATGACGACAAAATAAAGGCATTGATCGAGTCAAACCTACGTTACATGACACAAGAGATTGCAGAAACATTGAACATCCATCATTCAAGTGTTCATGACCACCTGAAGAAGCTGGGATATGTAAGCAAGCTCGATATTTAGGTTCCGCATGTACTCAAAGAAGTTCATTTGACGGCACGTATAAACATCTGTGATATGCTCATTAAACATGAG